TTTTACACGGCTTCTTAAGAAAACATTATGGAACTTGCTAATATTCTACCAATCAAGTCCAGTGACATTCCGTTTATTTTTCATCACTCGAACACTAAAAAGTGAAAAAATATATGAAATTGGGTCCATTAAATTCTAAACTTTGATCTACATTTCTAATTACAATTATTTCTGATCATACGTATAATTATATAAAATTCTAAAATTCTAAAATTTCAAATACATATAAAAACAATCATATGTAAAATTTAAATTTGTCAATACTAAAATTTTATATTTTAATTACATACATTCACCCTGCGCAAGGCGCAGGTCTTATCCTAGTTAATATATATGATTGTTGCACGTTGGAAGCTAGTCGATTTTACATTCTTACATCCTCTATTCAATAGATAACCGTGTATTGTTTCTTTTGTTTTTTTCCTTTTGAGCGGCATTATTGTAATTTTTTCCATCTACCCAAAGAATATTTTAGAATTCTCTGCAATATTTCAATGGCTGTCATACTTTCATAACTGATCGATATTTACGTTTTTCTTGTTGTTTATACCTTCAACTTGTAAATCCATTACAAAACATATGAATTCAATCTTTTAAAACTTAAAACACCAATTACTTTTAAATTTCCGATTTCTTGTTCAATTATGACAAATCAACACAGAGAACCACCATGGAACGCATAACTGATCACCATGGGCACGTTTTTGATCAGGTCTAAAAGTTAAATCAGTAAATCGACTTTGTTGTAAATGAAGAAATGTAACTGATTTCTAACCGTATAATGCAGAATAATTAACTGTTTACTAAATATTGGACATAACCTTTATTAATAGGGCATGTTCCAAATTTAATAGTATTGATTTTGATCAAATGAATTATTAGTTTTTGATAAAATAGTGTGATTTGAGATACTTAAGGATTAATTTGTTTGCTAACCCATTTTAAGCTTTATGTTAAACAGTAAATAAAAAATAAGGAGAATAAGCAATGTGTAATTTAACAAATTATGAAAAAGTTATAACTGTTTTGCATGTAAGTAAAATAAAATGGTAGAAAAAATGTGAAGAATAGAAAATGTTATAAAATATCTTTTATGTCACAAAAAGATATTTGGAAATTTAAATTTAAATTTATTGAATTATCACTATATCTCAAAACTATTATAAGATTATACAATATCAAGCTTTTGATTTTCAAACTATTTAAAATTAACATGCTATTTTAATATTTATGATTTTATTCAAAATTATAAATTAAAAACGAAATATATACTTTTCACACAATATTTATATCTGCAAAACCGCAGACAACCACCTAATTATTCTTGAAAATCTATCCCCTTAGAAACTCGTCGGGAATGGCATTTGCTAAAATGTTTTATCGAGTTTTTCCTGTCAGAAACAGGTTTCATCAAGATTTTGTCTGACGAATTTCCTTCCCTCAAGAATTCTGTTGAAAATTTATGTATTACTTTTTTTTTGTAAATGATGTAAAACATTATTGAACCAGCATATTACACGTTCTTGATTACAAAAATACAAATTGATAAAGTGAATTAAACAATATTCTAAATCACCTAGTAAGTGCAACCTAAAGCAAAATTAGCAAATAATTCAACCTGACCTAATCCTAGAAAAATGTGTAACGCCTTCATTGAGAGTGACTCACTGGTCAAAAAGTAATTATTTTTTGAAAAGAACGTCTCTGTGTATTATATAATGCATATTTGGTTACAACTTAAAGGTACATGGCGGTTGACATAGAAACACTTTATAATTAGCTTTAAAAAGTAGAATAACAATCCCAATAATATACAATCCGAATTTATATGGAAATGGAGCAAGTCGTCTTCAATATTTTATCAAGCGACGATCTTTAATGTAAGATTGTGAAGAAAGTCCCATCAAACCTAAAAGGAAGAATACACACACACCCAAACCAATTCAGCGACTTCACTAAGTCAATCATATATATATACAACAAGCAAGACTTATGATTCATCATCATCATCATATCTAGCTCTTCCTTTGAATCTTCTCCAAAATTATCTCCCGAAAGGAATAATCCTAGTTTCTTCTCTTCCTAATTACTTCCCATGGATATCGAAAAGGCCAGTAGCAGAAGAGAAGAAGAAGAACCCATTGTTCAAAAGCCAAAGCTAGACAAAGGAAAAGGCAAAGCTCATGTGTTTGCTCCTCCTATGAACTACAGTCGCATCATGGAAAAACATAAGCAAGAAAAGGTGAATATGGCTGGCTGGAAAAGAGGTGTAGCAATCTTTGATTTTGTACTTAGACTCATTGCAGCTATTACGGCCATGGCCGCTGCTGCAAAGATGGCAACCACCGAAGAGACTCTTCCTTTCTTCACTCAGTTCTTGCAGTTCAGTGCTGACTACACCGATTTACCAACGTTGTCGTAAGTTTTATAATGTTCACTCTTACTAAGATTATACCAAGAATTTAATTAATAATTATCGAAATAACTTTGTAGCTCTGAGTTTGGTGCTTTTGTAAGTTAATAAAATAAAACTCAACCTTAATATATGTGTTTTTTTTTCTTTAAACAGATCTTTCGTTATAGTAAACTCAATCGTGGGGGGTTACCTAACCCTCTCATTGCCTTTCTCCATTGTCTGTATCCTCCGGCCTCTCGCTGTGCCGCCTAGGCTCTTCCTCATCTTATGTGACACGGTAATATTTTATATGCTAGAATTGCTAAAACGTTACATTTCTTTTTGTTGGGGTTTTATATATGCAGAGAAATAATACGATATAAACGAAAACGCCCACTACGAAAGAGTTGTCGGTTAACAATATGGTTGTATGTATACAAAGGTTTTAAGATTAATAACGATGAATGTGTATGTTGACTACATACACACGACACATCCCTATATTAATCGTATACGATTTTCGTGGACCAGGCGATGATGGGCCTCACAATGATGGCAGCATCGGCTTCTGCAGCAATAGTTTATTTGGCGCACAATGGGAATTCAAGCTCGAATTGGCTTCCGGTTTGCCAGCAGTTTGGTGACTTTTGCCAAGGAACGAGCGGCGCCGTGGTGGCTTCCTTTATTGCAGGGGCTCTTTTGATGTTCCTCGTCGTCCTCTCTGCATTTGCTCTCAAGAGATCGACTTAAAAGTTTGCAATGAAATTCATTCGTGCGAAAAAAATTAAAAGGGTCAAATGTATGATTTGTTTTTTGTTGTATTGTTTAACTCGGATGTACTGTGGTTCTTGTTGTAAATCAGTCTCATCTTAATTTGTTTTTGTTTTTGTTTTTTCCTGCATAATTTTCGTTTGAAAGTGAACATTAATATATAATCATATGATTAAGGTTTTTGAAAATTATACTCTTACAACATACAAACTTAATTATTGCACATCCATCAAGATAAGTAACTCTAGAAAAGACACCATGTCAAACAGCTTTGTTTGTAATACAATGACTTGCACATATATGAAGATACTTATCATGTTTAACACCAATACATCAGTTATCATTGGGAGTTGATTGCAACATGTAAATTTCGTTTCATTTTTTGGTCAAATATTTTTGTTCTTAATTAGATACAAAAAACGTATGGGATACAATTCCTTCTTGTACACTTTTGAATTTTCAGATACAAAATCATAAAAACCTTTAAAAGTGGGAACTACTAAGTACTAACTGGTTGTGTAGCTTACCTTTGGGTGAATCTAATGTTGAATACACCCCCATTAGTGATTTAAAACTGTCAAACAGGTTTAGAAGAACATATAGTATATTCAGCACCGGTCCAGAGTTTTAAATAGCCCAAAACAAAATAAAATAAAAGGGCCGAATTAAGAATTGAACCTAAGAGCTCTTGGCATTATTAGTGATATAAAAAATCACTACACTAAGAACAATTTACTATATAAAAGACCGAAATCTATTAATAAAATTTGAGGGCCAGAAGCTAATGCTTTCATAGCTTTCCCTCAGGACCGCCACTGAGTATATTGCTGAAATTAAAAGATAAGTCCATTACCATTCAACACTCTCCATGATCTCTTCATAAAATTGAATGTCTTTAATTAGAGAAAGTAGGTGTTACGGAAAAAAAATTAGAGAAAGTAGAAAACATGATATTAATCACAAATAAAACTTGTTAAAACATGTATATATTCTACATTTTTACATAAATTTGTAACATATTAAATACTGATATTAAAATTCAATATATTTTATATGCTCATATCTTATGTAAGAACGTAGCAATAAAAAAATTAATTAGGCAATGCCTATATATTTCGCGCGAGTAAGTGGAGACGTGCCGTGCCAACTCAGCACTCCGGCCGTCTCTCCCAGACCCGGACACCACGGTTTGCAAAAAAAAAAAAAAAAAAAAAAAAAAAAAA